TAATGGCCACAAATAGACGATCATGCTCAGAGCACACAAGCGCTTTGGGCATTCCTCTACAGTATGGAAAGAAATAGACTTATTATTATTATTATTATTAATGCTCATGACAGTTTGACCCCATAGACATTTCAGATCGATTGCATTAATCTTAAAGGTTTTTGTACTGTAATAAAAACTTTCTGGTACAAAAACTATTGTAGATTTGTATTTTCTAAAAGGCCATTTTATGTCGTTTTGGCTAAAAAATACAATGCAGAAAACAGTATGCAAACCGTGCAGTAAATGCACATTCCAGTACTGTCTAAAATAAGTCACAGTTGCACTCAGAATTTCAAAACTGGAAATGCACAAATGTTCTGTTATACATTTAAAATCTATTCTTCTTCAAGTTAAGATACAACAATGTATAAGAAATATTGTACTATGTACCATTTCGTCTTGATATGAGGATCAAGTATCGAAAAAACAAAAAAAAATTACGAAGAGAACAAATGCTTTGCAATTATAGCTGAAAAAAGAAATTGAAACTGAAAGAGTATGGAAAGTCTTAATATGGTGTACTTTTGTATTTGATAAATAATTAATGATTGAATTGAATGTCACTATCCTTTTTGCGGAAAAAAAATTCGTGAGGGTGAAAAAGTGATATTTTGATGGAAAATCAATGATTTGTACGGAAAACCACAAGCACGTTCCGGAAATATCCGAATGTATGCTAATGTATGCATGACGTAAATTATGGACATGACGCGGTGGTTTCTGGGAATGCTACACTGACAGATAAACAATGTGGCGGGCGTTATGTATTATAATGAAAACGATTCGTCAAGCACTCACAGTTCATCTCATTCTGAAGACGAAGAAGATGAATACGAAATGTTTGGGGGTGTGGTGGACTACCAGTTCAAGCCAGTTAGGCGTCCTCGGGATGGGGTGACTGACAGTGAAAGGCCAAACCAGGACGATGACACTGCCGAAATTCATGAAAATGGAGATCGATTGGGAAATAAATTTATAATGACTGGTTCGTAGCGTTCATTTTGTATTAAAAATCGCCCGCTTCAAAATATTCATATCTCCTTTCAATGAAAAATTTTACAGAATTAAAATATCTTGATTAGTCTTTTAGATATTCCATGATGAATGGGGTAAATAGTGGAGAAATATGGTCGTTATTTGTATGAATTCTTCACTCATTTTATAAGTGATATACGGAACAAGTCATTATAAGATTAAAACTATTTTATAATACATGTAACTTAATTATAATTTATTTTAAAGACAATAGGTAATTTTCATAACATCATGAGTTCCTACATTCCCAAGTCTGAATTGATAAAACACACACATCGGATAGGCCTACCAATTAATGATAAAGTGAAAGTAGACCTTCTGATCAAATAATTGAAATAATATGAAATTATCCACTCAAAATATACTTTAAATTAAGAAATGATAGTTTTAAATCATTTATGAGTTTAGTGTTTGATTATAAACTGAAATTTCATGAAATCAACTTCATTTTTCGCTTTTGTTACGCTTCAAATGTGTTCCAAAATGGCCGCCATTACCACCGTTTTATGCTGGAAAATTGATATTTCATCTTTTTGGCTAAGTTTAAATGCCGATTTTTTTTAGTATTAATTAAAAATAATATGCAAATCGAATTTTAAAACACTTTTCTGGCTATGTCATCTTACCAATATATAATATTTTCTATAAAAATAAAGAGTTTTGAAGTGAAACAAATAACAGACTGAGAGTTTTCAGTCGGCGCCTTGAAGTCGAATAAATTTGACCCATACCAGCGTCTTTTGGAAAGCCATGTTAACTGTTTTCTTTACAGGTATAGCTGCAAAATTGGTCATGTGGTCATGTGATTAATACGACGTAATGGCGGACTGTCTCATACATGTGTAATCTACCGATGTTGTCGGGTTTCTACCGCTTTTGCATGTTGTCTACCGCTCTACCGGCGGGATACCTGATTCTACCGATTTTTGGTTTTTTTCCTGATCAAATTTTCATGGGACCTACCGTTTTCAATGTTCAAATTCTCTAACATAAATCAACAGAATATCTATCATCACTTGTATCATAATTGCGTTAATCTCATCACGTAATAATATTATCATTGCCTGATTAATTAATCTCCACAATTAAGATGGTAATTTGATCTATTTTCACCCGATAATGTGTATTTTAAGCCCACATGACACTTTTTATAACAACATCCGGTAGATTCTACTTTCGCTTTTATAATAAATTTTACGGTAGCCCTACTTTTACTAAAAAACGAAATCTTGAAGTCTTCTCAGTATTTTATACCGTCAGTGTCAATCTGCGAGGTCTATAATAGGCCTATATAACATAGACGTCGTTTCAGAATTATTTTTCATTATCAGTAGATTATCATACGCGACTGGATGTCTAATTCTTATGTAAACTCAAACTTCGTTTCATAAAATCGTTTTGTAATTTTTCTGTAGCCTGTAAATATTCATTTGATTGCCTGCATAACGGGCTTACTTATTACATGTCTTTCCATTCTGAAGAACGTCAAAATGGAAGCGGAAGATTCAATTCAATACTTCGTGAGAGTGTTGCAGGAAAAGTATTTAGTGATCGGACTGGAGATATTTAAGATGTCATGAATTACACCTTTGGAAAAAGTAACATTGCCAGTACACATTATTTACTAAATATTGCTTTCAGGACATACTGATTTTTAATATGATATGACATGTGGGCCTACCAGTACCATTTAATTTAGAGGGATCATGCTTGCTCTCTTGTTTTCAAACATCATTTTAACTTGACATTATTTTGATTCAATCAATACTGAAGAATGACAATATCAAATTTTTTTTGGGCCTCTAAATTTGAAATATCAGGCACTATTTCTAGAATTATCCATAATTATAGATTGTTAATTTTAACTGTGTGATGTAGGCCTATGATCAATTTAATTAATTTACAAGGCTTAAAGCTTATTTGAAAAAAAAAAAAGAAAAAAACAATCAATTTGGAGTTTCAAATCACGAATTCACGCGCTTTGGAAAAATCTCCTGACTTTTCACCCAATCTCCAGATTTTTCAAGGCAAATCTCCAGATTTTTTTTCCTGACCTGTACACATGTATGGACTGTCTTTGTAAACAAATGGGAATTAAACACAAATCGTCTTTGTTTTACTTATACATGTATCTTTATTATCGATTATAAGATTGGAGTGGATACAATAGGATATATATAAACATTCACGGTAGGTGTCAAGTGGCCCATAATTGACTGTCCATACACTTTAAGTAACATTTGGAAAATGAACAAGATTAAATACTACACAAATTTGAGACAACAAACCTGGGGATGTAGACCTTAAACTAGAAAAAGTCCAACTGTAAAGCATCTGAGTCCATGTAAACTACAAATTTCATTAGAAACAAAGGCTCTAAAACCTTTTTCATTAAAGGCATAGTTTCATGTGATTCCAGTTTTGTGATTTATTGTTTGACCCGTTCCTGCTGTCATATGCAATATGTTGGACAAACTACCACCCCTTTCATTGACTTAACACGCACAGGTTAACATTATTTTTGACAAATCATACTTTGAACCTTCAAGTCCATGTGTGTCCAGAATCATCCTCGTCTGTGATATATAGTAAAAACGTATATAGAAATAGTGAGTAAAATTCAAAGTTTGAGATATTTTTGAAGGAATTATGCAATTCTCGTACATTTCCAGTACTTCTGAAGGCTATTTACATCTACTCAAGACTCGAATCAACCTCCAAAAATGGCGCACCAGGGTACAAATTACATTTTTATTTGCATAGCAGATTTTTGCTCTTAATTTTGTGGAGCAATATCTTCTGAGATAGATGAAATTGTATAGCACTTTTTTAACAATATTTTTTAATGTCTAATAAAAGTTATGAATAGTATCATTGAATTAAATGATTCTTGATTTTATCAATTTTAATACCAGTGGAAAATAGAAATATAAAAGAAGTAGGACTTAAACACCAAATATATTTGCGCATTACGTCTGACACTTGAGTAACTCTAAAAAATATGTCAGCGTAAATAATGCGCGTATGATTCTTGATTGAGAAAAAGTCCAAACCAACCAATTAATACTTAAACCTCGGGTTTGCGATTTTTCTTATTTATATGTTGTTATTATTTTGTTACAAATAGGAGTGTTGTATTTCGATTGTTAATGATGGAGCATTAATTTTTTTCACCATATCCATGCTGCTCTACTCTGTCTCCCCGAAATGTCGTCTGCTATCCACTTCAGTATTGATTGAATTCCTTATTTAGCACAATCTATAACTACGATACTATCTATAGTAACAATCATGCCTCTTTCGGTCCTCAAGAAATTTACTGAAAGGTGCGACAAATTAACGGATTATTATAAAATATTATGTATCGCGAAAAACGTGGTGTGAGTGTTCATTATCACCCAAGGATGAATCATATTGAAAATCAGAAGAATCGCAAAAAAAGCTCGTAAACACTCTAGAAGGCACAATTTTTTACGGATTTTGACGAAACTTGGCATGAGTGTTTGTTATCACCCAAGGATAAACCCTTTCGAAAATCAGTAAAGTTAAAAAATATTTAGTATGAGTTATTGCCTCTTTGTTTCCGACACCAAATTTTATAATGAGTTAATTTTCATTTATTATTAGAAAATATTATGTATTGCAAAAAAACTGCGCTATTGACGAAAATTACATCACATTTTGCCGAAATAGCACCTCATTTTTAAACGCCCACATAAAATGGGGGTCATATTTTACCGTACGTCTGTCAGATTTTGATGAAACTTGGTGTGAATGTTTGTAATCAACCAAGGATGAACCCTAATGAAAATCGGAAGAATTGAAAAATATTTAGTACAAATTATTGCCTTTGTTCTTGAAAACGCCTTTAAGTAGGACGTAAAACTCCATTCATTTCATTTCATTTGAAAATGCGTCCAATTTTAAGCTCGTAAACACTCTACAAGGCACAATTCTGGTCGGATTTTGAGAAAACTTGGTGTGAGTGTTCGTATACACCCAAGGATGAACCCTATTGAAAATCAGAAGTATCAAAAAATACTTCGTATGAGTTATTTAGCTCGTAAACACTCTAGATGGCACAATTCTTGACGAAACTTGGCATGAGTGTTGTTATCGCCCAAGGATAAAACCTATTGAAAATCAGAAGAATCGAAAAATATTAAGTATGAGTTATTGCCCTTGTTCTTGAAAACGCTTTCAATTTTTAGCTTGTAAACACTCTAGAAGGCACAATTCTTGACAGATTTTGATGAAACTTCGTGTGAGTGTTCATCATCACCCAATCGTGAACCCTATCGAAAATCAGAAAAATATTAAGTATGAGCTATTGCCCATGTTCTTGACAACATGTTTTTAGCTCGTAAACATTCTAGAAAGCTCAATTCTTGACAGATTTTGACAAAACTTGGTGAATTGTTTATTATCATCCATGAATGAACCCTATCGAAAATCAAAAAAAATTGAAATATTTTTCATAGGAGTTTTTGACTTAAACACTAGAGGGCCTGATTCTTGCCAGATTTTGACAAAACTGAAAATTGAATATTTGCCTTCTAGAGTATTCACGAGCTAGAAATTGAACACATTTTCAAGAACAAGGGCAATAACTCAATATCATTCAATATCGCCCTAAAGAGTTCAAAAGAAGTGTATGACTAAAGGTAGAATATTTCATACAACAAGTTTTCTAGAACAAGGGCAATAACTCATACTAAATATTTTTCAATTTTTTTGATTTTCAATAGGCTTCATCCTTGGGTGATTACGAACACTCACAACAAGTTTGGACAAACTCCGTAAAGAATTGTCCCTTCTAGAGTGTTTACAAGCTAAAATTTGAATGCGAGCAATTGTGGACGGACGGACGGACATAGGTGACGGTAAAATAAAAAGCAGGAAAACCAAATTGATATACTGATCAATATGTATAATATCTTAGTAGCTAACAGGTCTAGTTTTGAAATTTTTATCACATACCTTTAACTCCATCTTGCGAGGATACTGAACACAGTAATTTGATTGAATTGCCTTCTTCTACATTTGCAGATTGTGGAAAACTTGTAATTATTGGGGCTTTCGAATCTTCATCTGGAACTAAGAAAGAAATAATATTTAAGCCTAGGTTATTGACACAATGAAGAATATAGAAATCTGCCATTTCTTTTATATCATAATCAATGAGAAGTATACCTCTGATAACTGGCAAGTCAAAGTAACCATGCGCCCACACAGAAACCTTTGACTTTTATTCAATAAAAATCAGCATGTATCATAATGAAAAATCTGTTAAGTCAAGTGCACTAAAGATGGTTTACCGATAAATCGTCAAATTCAAAATTATTCAAGATCTTATAATTATAAATGATCAAACACTTCTTTTGAACTTTTTAAGGCGATTCTGAATAATATTACCAAGTTTCATCAAAATCTGTCAAGAATTGCACCTTCTAAAGTGTTTACGAGCTAAAAATTAAACAAGTTTTAAAGAACAAGGGCAATAACTCATACTAATCATTTTTTGATTATTCTGATTTTCAATAGAGTTCATCCTTGGGTGATTACTAACATTCATACCCTGTTTCATCTAAATCCATTAAGATTTGTGCCTTCTGGAGTGTTTACGAGCCAAAAATTGAATGCATTTTCAAGAACATGGGCAATAACTCATACTAAATATTTTTCATTTTTTCTGATTATCGATAGTGTTTAGCATTGGGTGATTACAAACAACCATACCAAGTTTCGTGGAAATCATTCAAGAATTGTGCCTTGTAGAGTGTTTACGAGGAATTGCGGACAGACAGGGCGACGACAATATACGCCCCCCATTTCATGTGGGCATATAAAGATAGCTTGCCAGGCAAGGTAATATACGCCCACTGGCAGCTTTGATTTTGAACATAAATATTTAGCAGTACAGTAACAATCACCAGTATGAAATATTCAACCTTCAGTCATACACTTCTTTTGAACTCTTTAGCACAACACTGAATAAAATTGAGTATGAGTTATTGCTCTAGTTCTTGAAAACATGTTCAATCTTTAACTCGTGAAAACTCTAGAAGGCAAATATTCAATCTTCAGGACTGAATAATAAAACTAAGTTTTGTCAAAATCCAGAAAGAATCATGCCTTTTAGTGTTTAAGAGCTAAATTTGAAAGCGGTTTCAAGAACAAGGGCAATAACTCATACTAAATATTTTTCAATTCTTCTGATTTTCAATAGGGTTCATCCTTCGGTGATTACAAATATTCACACCAAGTTTCATCAAAGTGATTATGTGCTAAAAATTGAACGCGTTTTCAATAGCAAGGGCAATAACTAATACTAAATATTTTTCAATACGGTTTATCCATGGGTGATAACCAACACTCATGCCAAGTTTCGTCAAAATCTGTCAAAAATTGTGCCTTCTAATGTGTTTACGAACTAAAAATTGAACGCGTTTTCAAGAACAAGGGCAATAACTAATATTAAATATTTTTCAATTTTTCTGATTTTCGATAGGGTTTATCCTTCAGTGATTACAAACACTCACACCAAGTTTCGTCAAAATCCATCAAGAATTGTGCCTTCTAGAGTGTTTACACGCTAAAATTGAACACGTTTTCAAGAACAAGGGCAATAACTTATACTAAATATTTTTCGCTTTTTCTGATTTTCAATAGGGTTCATTCTTGGGTGATTACAAACACTCACAACAAGTTTTGTCAAAATCTGTCAATAATTGTGTCTTGTAGAGTGTTTACGAGCAATTGGGGACGGACTGACAGACAGACATGGGTAACGAGAATATACGCTCCCCATTTCATGTGGGCTTATAAAAATGACTACTAAATCGTTCAGCCTTCTAGAGTGTTTGCGGGCTAAAACTTGAACATGTTTTAAAGAACAACGGCAATAACTCTACCACTTTACAGTCCAATCTTTTGTTAAGTTACAAAGACTCAGCCGGCAGATTATATAAAATGTTAAAAATGTTTACTGAATAATGCTCGTAGACAAGTTCTTTGAATAAAAATACTAAATAAAGCAATACTTAACCGAGTCATACAACATATTTAATGCAAAAAAAGTGCAGAATTCAGTAACTTGGTTAGAGGAAAGTGGGGCTTACTTTAATTTTGTATTATTTTGTATAAACTATAATGCATTTACCTGTTACTTGCACTGTACATGCACTTATTGCTTTACCAGCAGCTGTAGAAGCAAATACCATGTATGTTCCACTGTCCTCAGGGAAAACTTCAGCAATGACAAGTTTATAAACAGCACCAGCATTTTCATATCTAAAATCTTCTGAGCTTTTTATTTCCACACCATTTCTCAACCATTTAATATCTGGTTTACCTAAATTAATATTCATCATTGTCAATAATATAGTCCACTTATTCCATGATTATGGTACTTGTTTTAAAAAATAGCAACACAGAGCCTATCATGTCCGCACCAATTATTATCCATCACCTTCAGCAATTTTGAAAAAGTCTAAAAATATAATTCGGTATTAACCAAATCGAAAGTGATATAGGACATATAAGATAGCATGCCAGGCAAAGTAATATACGCCCACTGGCAGCTTTGATTTTAAATAAAAATTTTGGCAGTACAGTAACAATCACCAGTATGAAATATTCCAAATTCAGTCATACACTTCTTTTGAACTTTTTGATGCGATACTAAATAATATTATCAAGTTTTGTCTTTCTAGAGTGTTTGAAGGCTAAAACTTAAACGCATTTTCAAGAACAAGGGCAATAACACATATTAAGAATTTTTTCGATTCTTCTGATATTCAATTGGGTTTTTCCTTGCATGATACCAAACACTCACACCAAGTTTGGTCAAAATCCATCAAGAATTGTAACTCCTAGATTGTTTACGGGCAATTTTGGATGGACAAATGGACATGGGTGAAGCCAATATACGCCTCCCATTACATGTGCGCATAAAAAAAAGATAGCTTGCCAGGCAAGGAAATATACGCCCGCTGGCAGCTTTGATTTTGAATAAAAATATTTGGCAGTACAGTAACAATCACCAGAATTAAAATATTCAATATTCAACTTTTTGGGTCGATTCTGAAAGTTTTGTCAAAATCCAGCAAGAATCATGCCTTCTGGTGTTTAAATAATTCATACTAAATATTTTTCTTTTTTTCAGATTGTCAATAAGGTTCATCCTTGGGTTATTACAAACAATCATACTAAGGTTCGTCGAAATCTGTCAAGAATTGTGCCTTCTAGAGTTTTATGAGCAATTGTGGACTGACCGACGGAAATGGGTGACTGCAATATAGCCCCCTCCACCCATTTCATGTGGGCATATAAAAATACATTTCTTTAATGGCTGGAACATTACAAGGGAGATAGATATATGACTGGGGTGCTTCATTAATCTCATGAATAACCAGATCATGGGTATCTGAAAATTACAAAACGCAATATATTGTTATTCATGAGATAAATGAAGCACCCCAAAAAGAATGTATAACAATCATAAAAGTTTTAGACATTACACCTTATATAGGGTATATCTCATTCTAAGACCCTTGTTCTGGGGCCCTGTAAAAATTACGGGCATACTGAAGGCCTCGTATTTAATAGCAATCTAGATTCAATGCTTGGCCAACTCTGGTTACCTATCACTATCCATGCAAGTTTTTGGTTTACCATCGAAAAATTATACAATCCGAACTGGCCTACTCTTCAACTATTTTTAGCCGTAGTCCTTTGTACTGTAGGTTCTAGAATCTACTTCTCTGGCCCTAGTAAACATAGACTAGGCCTAGATCTAACTGTTTCTTTTTTGTTGAACTTTTTATTTTAAAAATTTTGTCTTTGTTATTTCTATTACATATCTATATAAATTATTGAGCATTTGCAGAAAAAGATATAAGATTTGAACGACATATAGAAGCGAGGAGCACATATAACAAAAACATAAGACAATATTATGGAATATAACACACTTCTTCAATAAGGTTGGGCACATAACGTTTCAACACAATATACACGTGTCGTCATCAGATGTAATGTAATGACTTCGCATTGTTTATACCCTTTTATCTATTGTCTCTCTTAATCACTTGTTATTACCCCTTTTATCTATTGCCCCTCTTAATCTCTATATTGTTTCTTGTTGGTATATACTTTGTTATGTTTTATTCTCTTGCCATTACATCTGATGACGACCCGTGTATATTGTGTTGAAACGTTATGTGCCCAACCTTATTAAAGAAGTGTGTTACATTCCATAATATTGTCTTGTGTTTTTGTTATATGCAGAAAAAGAGTGTTATTGTAAGTTTATTGATTTTGTAGGTAGCTTAGATCTATTTATTTGGTTTCTATTTTCTATATCACGTAAAAAAAAAAGATCATAGATGGAGAGCTCACACCAAACAAAATCAATAGAGCAAGGAAAGTAGCCATTTAAATTAAAGTGCTGAATCTATCACTGATTTGTAACCTGCTTCTTTTTTCACTAAATCACACAACAATTTTAGCAGTAGTGGCAAGTCAGTAAAACTTGTCACACCTGACAAGTAGAATTATTTTACACTTGCTGTTTAGAAATTTGCATGTCGAATCTAAGTGACAGGTGTTAATTTGAGTCATGCAGTAATAGTATTTATATTGAAAAATTTTGTCATTCTACTGTGTGATGAAATAATTTTGAAATGAGAGTAGGCCTAATTTGTAATTGCTGATAATTAATCAAAGTGTTCACACCGTAGTAAAAGCCAATCAAAAATAAAAAGATAGCTTGCGAGGCAAGGTAACATACGTACATTGGCAGCTGTCAGAAATGATAAAACAGTCCTTAGTGACTGAAGTACGAATTTTCTCATATTGAAGAAATTTTATTAGTTTGAATTCAATTTTATATATATGCCAGTTATTTATGCTTAGTAATTCCACAAAATTTTTTTAAATCAATATCAATAATAATAATATAATAATATATATATAAAATATATATAAATAATATCATTCCTCGACACTTGAAAAAGGATAATATTTCGAAAACCGGTTCGTGTCAATTGCGTAAGTTTTTGTTTTACTTGTTATAATTTTTCACAACATTGTTAGCGTTATTTATCACCTTAATATATATTTTTGCATTTTTCATCATAACTTTCATCTTACTTTATATATCCCAAACCCAGTTTGACTTATTTGCATAATTTGATCCCCACATTTTCACGCTAGCATATACAGTTTCCTCCTGTTACATCCGCTGTACATTCCCTTTCTAACCTCAAGTTATTTTCATTATGCTCCCCAACTACAACAACCACTGGCAAGAAGCCAGACATAGAAACACTAATCGTCAACCAAACCAATATCACGTACCCTACAACGGCCCTGTCTTCCATCGACCTCTACCACCTACCAATCGCCGACCACCAACCAACCCATCCAGCTATATCCCACCCCATCGCCGACCTACCCACAACACCTACCAATCAAGAGGTAACCATCGACCTGACCAACAACAGAAACGACTACCAGCCCACCGACGCCAACCAGTCCCCACTCATAAGGAGGAAGAACCCTTTGTGAAGGTGTTCTTCCAAGTTTTGCAGTGCCTCCATCATTTGGCAATCCTTACCCTTCAACAGCAAGGCCAACCAGCGTTTACCTTCAAACGCAAAGTCTCTGAGTTGGATAGTTTTATCCGCCCAGCAATGAAAACATCAGCTGTTGACGCGAATATTAGATCCCTCAATCGGACATGGCTCTCTAAAGTTACACAGGTCCTGATCGACCATTACCAAAACACACTTCAAGAGAAGCTGAGCACCATTCGTACCAAGTCTTTATCATCACCTGCCGTCGACCGCATTGTTTCTCATGCCCTGTCCTGGGCTCGTCGCTCCTATGGGAAACGTCTCACTCAAGCTGTAATCACCAAGTTCTACCAAACAATCAACGAAACAAAAACCAGAGTAACCATATCTCTACCAACTGAAATGGACACTACACCTGCACCATCTAGAGCCACGACGCTGCCGAACCAAACCCCTAAACGAGCCCGAAGTTCACCTAATCCTAGTCCAGCAGACATAGGTAAACGCTCTCGTAGAGAGGGCACTCCCCTTCTCTTTTCACTTTCAGACTCATCTTCCCCTTCCACACCATCTGAATCTTCACCACGTGATCCAGGATCCGCCAACCTTTCTTCCTTCTGTGCGTTTTTGGACCAGCAAACCACCCCTCAGTCTCCATCCAAGTCGAGACGTGTATCCAGACCTTCCCCCCCTCGAACCAGATCCCAGTCTGTTCCCAATGCTACAATTCTAACAACTACCAAACCAGTACCAATCACACCGTCAACGACCATTATATCCGCTACCAAACCGTATTATCACCAAACCAAGGACAAATCATTATGGAAGCTACCCGCTCTAAAGAAATCTACCTCAATTATTGGATCATCTAACCTGAATCGAAATACCAAAACCAGTTCAGACACTGAAATACATTCTTACCCCGGTGCCCAAATCCATCACATACAGTCAATCCTGGAATCATACGACCATGATCCCAAACCTACTACCATTATTCTTCATGTAGGCCTCAACAACCGTGATCAGCTACCAAAGACCTCCTTTAACCAAGCCCAGAAATTAATCGCCACAGCCAACAAAACCTTCCCGAAATCCAAGATCCTCTTCACATGTATACCCATTTCAAATAAAATCTCGAAGAAAGCACAACAGAACCTCAGCACTCTCAACAACATGATGATGGAGTCCAGTATCAACAGCGCAACAATATTACCACACTACGAAGAAGAATTCGAACTAGTTGATAATCTTCATTGGTCTCCAGAAACAGCAAACAGCATTTATTTGTTTTGGATACACCAGCTTCAAGCATCGAGTAAGTCTTTAAACTAATTATTGGGGATAAAAATACTGAGAGGCCACCGCTAGGCCAAACTGTAGTTAACTTGAGCCGTAAAATTCTCACACCCCTTCAGCATTCAATCTTAGACCGTGGACTTAAATTTATTCCCACACCAAAGATAGCTAACTTGAATTATCTCCGACCATTCATTGAACGATTTCAACGAAATCTTAGCTGCACATATTTTTTTCGAAACCACCCCCCACGTGGTGCTAGAACAATGTTTATTCCTAAATCAACGTGGACACCCCCTCAGGCCGCCATCCATCCTGAAATATTGAAAGCATTTGCGAGTATGAATAGCCAAACAGTGAACCTTTCCATAACACACGAAAAGCCTAATCTCACACGAGTGGAACGTGAAGCGTTAAACTTACTTAAGAAAGACGATAGCATTGTTATTAAAAAGAGTGACAAAGGTTCATGTTGTGTCATTCTGAATAGGGAGGAT